AAATTTGGTCGATTGGCAAACTATAAAGACTTCTCACTGGCAAAAAGTGGCGAGATGGATTTGCCCATATGCCTGCCCTTTTCGAGGTAGCAAATGTAGCACTATCCGTTTGTGTGAATGCCTCACTTTTGTTCTCAAACATTCTATTCTATTTTGCACTCGATGAACTGATGCCCAGGAAGGTAAATGATTGGCACCTGGTGAAATGTGAATAAAAGAGTAGGAAGAATGGACATGATGTGATGCCCTCGTCATTACCTCCAGTCGCCACTCTTCTCCTTCCCTCTCCGTCCCCTTCTACCCCTCACTCTCGCTTTTCTAACGATTCATGAGGTGTGAATTCTTGCGTTGCGTTGAGTTGCGTTGCAATCTTGCAATGCGGAGTGTTTCTTCATTCGCCTTCTTGACTTCTCCTGATCATTTTCCCATGATAATTAGTATTGCTGTCACACGGTGTAGTAGTCCCGAGTAGAAAAAGCTCAATCGTAATTGCTATTTGGCCGATGTCAAGTGAACGATTAGGTCTCTATTTAATCGCACAAGGAGTGGAAATACGTTTGATAAAAGGTGGCATGCAAAAGTCCCACTGCATCCACTATTCCAACCACCAGCAAGACAATCATCCTCTCTTTCTATGATGTCCATCAACTCCCGTTGGACGACTTAGAAATGCTTCGGAATTTGAGGATTCAGCTGCTGATGTCTGCTAGATTTTGCCAATTCAATGACAACTTGCAGTTTTAAGTGGAATTTCTTGTAAATTTCGACGTAAGTCCTCACATGACTGACTTAAGTAGTTCACCTGTAAGGTATCATTGCTGAATCACTATCAACTACAGAGATAGCTGTTTATAATTCGGACACCATGGCACCATGGTAGAACACCATTAACGAGCTTAAGATGGACTGTAGACAGCGAGCTTGCTGACTGTTAGTAGACGCCTCATTTACATTCATTTTGTTCAGGAGTATTTCCTTTTTCATCCAACTTGTCGGCTTTTCTACGGTAAAAGCGGCACTTAAAGGTTCTCATAAGTTGTCTATTTGAGCAGTTACTTGTACAAAAAATCTGACTTTCACACTGTCCGATTTCGTGACATCCAAGAGTAGATGGAGCCGGTGATCATACGACTCGAACGCTGTGTTACGACGACTGCACTTGACTGTAAATAAAAAAGGGATGAGCTTGATATGGTGCTTTATTTAATTGGCAAGTAAGAAAAGAGTTTAACATCTGACCTACCTATTTTAATTGTCGCACTACCGTCTGTTGGGAGAGGTTAATTCTTTACTCCCGTCCCCTCTCTATTCATATTCATGTGCTGAGGTAGAACTTGAAGACACTCGTAAGCGTCTTCTTGAGTCATGGATGAATGCAAGTAAGCAAACACTACCGCTACCCACACTTGTTTATGTCGCTATCTGCTCTCAGCATTTAACTTCACCAAAATTATCTGATACGGAATAGGCAAATTAGACGTTGACACTTCCGTTCCAAGCTACACATTTATCAGTGCGGCTTAAAACTGGGAGTTATAAGCAAGGCAATGAGCGGCATCATCTACTGAGTTTACTAATTCCTAAAGCAGACAAGTAAATCCATTCCAACTCCACTTTGTACGTCGACTGGTCCGGCCGTGTATTTATGTTGACAAGCTGCTTGGGAAAAGCAGTTCTGAGGCGCCTTAGGACAAAGTGGCCGGCCTTTTCTTCTCTCTACCGACAACATTGCTATCTTCTCCCCTGTTCTACTGCCAAGAAGTAGGATAAATGCAACTCATTCGAGTGGAAG